TCAAAATTCAGATGATTTATGAAAGTGTTTGATGGTAGCTTTATGGGATATAAAACATGTGAACTTTGTAGCAGCTCTTTTTCCTGTGACAACCATTTTCCTAGGGGTTTTGTTTTTATATGTATTCATTTACTAGGTAACTGCTGTGTGCAGACACTATTCTAAAAGCTTGTTATAGACTCAGAAGATTATAGAATGTTAGCAGAGACACCAAACATCTTCTAGTCCAGTGGTTTCAAATCTGACTGCAAGTTGGAATTACCTGGAGAACTTTGTAGAAGTACTTGCCTGGGGCCCACCTCCAGACCAACTGAGTCAGAATCCCTGCAGGTGAAGATTCCAGGGGAAGCCAATGTCCAGCTAGCTTTGATGATGGGGGAAGCCAGGGTTCGAAGTGTGGCCCTATTTCCCCTACAACCCCACTCAGCATCGCTCTTTTCTAGGGTGTAGAGGATGACCATGAGAAGTCCTAGGGACAGCTGATAAAGTTCAGTTGGTTCGTGGTGGTGGCAACAGAAATACCAACACATACACAGCAATTTTGAAAGCACCACAAAAGAAAATTGATACCCCAAATGACGCCTCCAAGTTATCAAAAATGGCCATATTTACTATAATATTTTTAGTATGATAGGGATGCACATAAGTGCCAGAAAGAAAGATTTTCATTAAATAACAGGCGCAGAGCTAGGAATTTTTTAAGTTTTCCTAATTTTCAAAAAGGTCTCTACTACACAGCTAAAATTGTTTCAAGTGGTTGGAAATCATTTCATTCAACAAATACTTAGGAAGAGGCTGAAAAATGAGACAAAACAAGATAGAGAAGAGAGGTAGGGAGTAGTCACAAACACCTCGAGTGCTGTTGCAACAGGCAATTGCCCCTGAAAGTGACAGAACAAAGATAGACAAAACATTTTCCTGTAGCAGGAGTGGTCAGAATATAATCACTCACCATATCTGAACTTCCAGGGACAGGGATGAGTCAAAGGCAGTACGGTGGAGGGAAAACAGCATTCAATTTGGAGCCGTTAAGACTGAGTTAAATCCAGCTCTTTGCATCACCGTCAAGAGTGTTCATTGCCCTAAGCCTTGGCTCTGCACAAAGGGGACTAGGGGATGCCTCCTGTGCTGACAACAGAATCAAAGCACGCAGGTTGTTTTCTGAGTGATTAATGATGTCATCCTGACTGGAATTAGGTGTATCTCAACACCAGATGCTGGAGAGGATGCAGGGCAAAGGGGACACTTCTATACTGTTGGTGGGAGTGTAAACTAGTACAACCTCTGTGGAAAACAATTTGGTGATTCTTAAACGATCTAAAAATCGATCTTCCAGATGACCCTGCAATCCCCCTTCTGGGAATACACCCAGATGAACTCAAATCACTCTATGAAAAAGATACCTGTACATACATGTTTATTGCAGCATTATTCACAATAGCAAAAACATGGAACCAACCATCCTGCTCACTGAAAAAAGACAGAATTTTTTAAAATGTGGTACATATACATGATGGAATATTACGTAGCCACAAAGAAGGACAAAATTATGAACTTCGCAGCAACTTAGATGAACTTAAAGTCTATCATACTCAGTGATCTATCACAGAAACAGAGAACTGAGTACTATATGTTCTCACTCATAAACGGACCTTGAACAATTATCATACTACTGTAAGAAAGGGATTGGCAACTGCCAGGGGAAGGAGGGAGGGCACACCTCATCAACAAGAGTACCTGCATAGTGACCATTTGTATACCTAACCCGGAATTGTACCCACTTCTTTAAAATAAAAAAAAAACAAAGCACACAGGTAAATATGGCCAGCACAGGAGAGTCAGGAATTCACAAATAATAGTGCCCTCCCTTTCTTCCTTTGAACAGGGCTAAAAAGGAAATGAACAACTTAATTAACTATGCAAACTACCTCATCTGACCTGTTTTATAAAAGCAGATAAGTACTTAGCTAGAGACTGTTTTTGCATCTAGTCTACAGTAGTCTGCTCTCCTCTGGCAGTCCTCCTCCTTGTCTACCCACTATGACGTTAGGAACCAGAGCATTTTCCTCTTTCCTTCATTGGGAATGCTCAGAACTCCCTCTTTGCCTCATGAGTGTCTGCGGGCTGCGTCCACGCTCTGATGTGCATTCAAGCCCTGATTCCGATGTATACCCTTCCCTCATCACAGATGGTGGTCACATGAGTGTGGCAGCTCACATGAACCCTCGTGCTGAAATGCCACAAGCCCTGAATGTTCAGGCTCAAAAGCAGATGTCCTTGAACAGCTGCATACAAAGACTTTACTGTCTAACCAAGTGTCTTCATATGGAAATGTTCTAAAGGGATGTACGTTTCCTCAATGGACCAAACCAGATCATTGTCGAGGTATTTTCATATGAAAAGCCATGTCCTTGATAAACTCTTTAGCTCCTAGGACATTGCTAAATACCTTGCAGAATAGTGATACCTTCTTGGTCAATTGCTGACTGGGAAGGTCTACTCTTTCAAATTCCTTTTTTTTTTTTTTTTTTACTCATTCAATGTTTATTGAACTCCAATATATGAGGCTCTGTGGTTACAAATAGGAATAAAATGACATATGTACCCAGAAGAAAGATACAAGAAATGCACATGTTACATAAAATAATATGAAGTAAATAGTGTGTTTTACATGACTCAAATAATACCCTATATTGTTAGGGCATTTTAAAAAATATGTTGTTATGATAACGAGTTTTCTTATAAGTTGTATACATTTTTGTTTGCAGGCAAATTTTTTATTTCATTTAAGTAAGCACCAAAGGGTGGCATCATAAGGTCCTAAAAAGAGTGGTATATGTTTACCTGTTTAAAATATTGCCAACCAGTTTTTCAACATGCTTGTATCACTGTGGTTGTTTAGTTTTTGGTTTGTTTTAGATTCAAGGGTTACAAGTGAACACATATTTCATGGACATTTTATGTAGTGGTGGGAGTTGGGCTTCAGGGGACCCATTCCCCAGATAATGAACTCTATACCCAATAAGCAACTCCCTAACTCATTCCCCTGCCCCCACTTCTAGTGCCACCAGTGCCTACTTTTTCCATCTCTGTGGCCATTGAGATCCCACATCTCAGTGAGACAGACATTCTTCAAACTCAGTCTTAACACAGGCTTCAGAAAGCACTTAGCATCTAAAGTGCAATGCTCAGTACAACTGAGGAACACATGGTGAAACCAGAGCTGACTCCCCCCAGGGGGTAGAGGCACACGGGGAATTTGAATAACCCCATAACTCAGACCATCATGGGAGATAAACTAGAGATTCCACCACAAAACCCATATGTTGGATATAATTCTATTGAACCATTTTAAGTTCCCTGTTTTGCCTGTTGAGCACTGTATTTTCCGCTAAGCCCACAGCAATACTCCCCCACGTAATGATGCATCCTATAAAAGGGTTTTTCATGTAAGATCGCGTGCCATAGGTTTTTTGAAGAGAGAATTCCAAGTTGTAAAAAAACAAAGGTCTTACTGAAAACAGCACTTCCTAAACTATGTGTGACATAACTAAAGTTCCTCGGGATGCTAGATATTTGGCAAAATAAATAAATGCATGAATGAATAAAAGAGAAGATTCGCATGAGGAAATAATTTTGAGGAAATACCTAGTGAAGCAAAATGAATGTCTTCAACTGCAAGAGTTCTCTGAGTCTTATACAAACATGTATTATAATTCTCTAATAAGTTGATCTAATAGAACAAATTTCCCAAACTTATTTTTCCCCCCTCAGGCATTTTTCTAGACTAAGGTTCTATGGAACACCAGTTTGGAAAATACTAACCTAAAGTGTTCCCACAAAAGAGTGCCTTTCAAAAGTTCTGCCAAATGAGCACCCTTAACCTTCCATCCCTCCAGATGGAAGAGGAGTTGGTCTCACCTGGCAAACCAGAAGAATCTCTCAACTGAGATCTGCAGTCTCAATGATGTATAAAACCTTGGCAATTCCCAATGGGAGTAAGACACAGCCCTTCCTGCACTGACTGTGGCTGGTTATATAACAACTAAAAGCAATTAGACACAAGCGTACAGAGTTCTAATTTGAGTCCAGATCGTGCAAAGTAATTCTCAAGGCTAGCTTTCCCCCTCTGCCTGGTTCATAAGTGCAAAACAACTTGAAATATGAGTTTAAATGACTAATCAAATCAATGGGGGAGTCATTAAGGATGAATCTACAAATGGGAGAATTTAAAACAGTTAATGCCTTACCTATTTCCAGGTTTGGAGGAAGCATGAATAAACAAGAGACTTTGTGTTTACTGAGTCACGACTGTTAAGAATCATTAGGGTGAACACGTTTCCTATAAATACATCCTTTTTTTAAAAAATTGACCTTCATAGTCATCAAACTTTAAAAAAACAAAAACAAACATCCTCCCTCAAACAAAATAAACTAAAAGCCTTCTCCCCATTTAAAGACGCTTTATACAAAAACGCTCCAACCCCCATCTGTTCCAATGCAGCACCAACTATTGAGTTCCTAATACAGCGTGCCTTTGAAAGGTGTGCAAACACGCTGCTGGCCCCTCCTCCCCGGGGTGGGTGTGGAGGGGATAAACATGTCTGCTCACTTTAGAAAGACAGACCAGGTTGGCCTCGGTGACTCAGCCTATAATTCCAGCATTTTGGGAGGCCAAGGCAAGTGGATTGCCTGAGCCTATGGGTTCGAGAGCAGCCCAGGCAACTTGGCGAGATCTCGTCTCTACAATAAATCAAAAATTAGCCAGACATGGAAGGATCACCAGCGCCCAGCAGGGTGGCTGTGAGTGTGTCACTGCACTGCAGCCTGGGTGACAGAGTGAGACTCCAACTCAAATAAAAAAAGAAAGGCAGATCAAATGCAGTGTACGACGACACAGGGTGGTTGCCAGGATTTGACAATGCAGTCGTGGTTTCCAGACCCCTGAATAGAATCCCCGTCCATCCACCCCGACAAACCCCAAGCAGCCTGTCACATACTGCAGTGGGCCTCGTCACTCCAGTCATCGCAGTCATTGTAGCCATTGCACTGCAGTTTCCTGGGGATGCAGATTCCACTGGTACACAGAAAACTCTCGCCCCCTCCGCAGAGCACTAAAACAGAGGGCAGAAAGATCATGTCAGAGTAAGACTTTGGTTTCTTTTAATATTAGGAGAGATAAGCAAACAATAGGAAGCCTCTCCTTGCTAGTCAACAGATTTGTTTCCAAATTCCTTCAGCTTCATCGTCACAGTTTTTGTGGGGGTTATTCTGGAACATTAATTGTGAAATTACCTGGGAATAATACAAAAAGTGCTCATCCAAGGAGAGCAAGAGGAAATTCACCAGTGGGCTTTCAGTCCACAAGAGAGGAAGGAGCCTTGTCAATTGCACATACCCAGTGGGAGGATTCTCCTGTTAATTGAACACTGTATCAAAGTGAAGTACTATTAATTGAATACATATTATTTAAAGTCTAAAAATGTTTTCAGAGCATTGCAAAAAGTCTCTCCTAACACATTACTTTACGTAGCACAGGGAACGTTACAGTAAAAATGGTCAATTAGTGTATGCTTGGACAAATGCTTGGAAACCCCGTGCCCTGTATCTATAATACTTGTGTTTGCCTTAATGAAAATGCCAGTTAAAATGTCAGAGTCTATTTTGGCATGAGGAATGTGAAATGACATTAGCTAATAAGCTTGTCATTCCTTTATTTCCCTTAACACAATTATGTTTTGGTATTTTTGCTGTTAGTATTTTGGCGTTCTTTTTCTTCTCAAAATTCAACAAATATTTAATTGCCCCCAAATTATAGTAACAATAAATTTAAGATAAAAAACTAGAAAAATTTTTTAAAGGAAGACCATTGGTAAAAGAATAAACCAGTCCAACAAAGTGGATGTGAAGATAGACTTAAAAACGTGGTAATGTGCATCCAATGCCTTTTAAGTGTACATGACCTTGACTCAGCAACCCTATTTCTTGGACTTCATACAAAGGAAATCATTAAGGATATGTGCAAGTTTTATTTTTAAGGATATTGATATTCATGCCATCATTGTTTATAATGAGGAAACTATGAGGTAACAACCATGCAATATTAGGGGACTGGTTAAATACATGTTGAAACCTCCATAGTAAGGAATACTGTTACAACCATCAAAAAAATGTATCATAGAATATAGTGTCCTGGGACAAAGTTCAAGAGAGTTTAGATTGAAACACATAAATTGATTTTTAAAAGCATAATACAATTTGGCATGGGGAAAAGAATATTATCCCCAGCATTAGGATTAAAGGTAATTTTTATTTATTTTGTCATGTTGTACTTCATATTTTACAAGTGTTCTTATAAGATGATGTCTGATTTTTTCAGATGGAAAAAACCTCTGACTTTTTAAATGAGCTCCTATTTTAGAATAACAGTAGCTAAGTAGATCCTCCAAAAACTTCCCTCCCTCTTTCCCTCCCCCCCTCCTCCCTCCTTCTCTCCCTGCTCCATCTCTCCCTCCCTCTCT